GGGTGCCTCACGAACTCTCCAATGATCATCGTTTCCAACGTGTGAACGTTGCTTCGTTTCTTCTGGTGCGTAATGCGCGTAAACCATTTTTGGCCAGAATTTTCACCGGTGATGAAAAATGGATTCTCTATGCGAATATTAATTCCCAAAAACAATGGCTCAGTCCTGGACAAAAAAAACCCCATCCAACCCCAAAACCTGGACTCCATCCGCAGAAAATGATGCTTTGCATTTGATGGGACATCAAATGAGTGATTCAATTCGAACTTCTCAATCCACAGCGAACTGTCAATGCAAAGATCTATATTCAGCAACTGGAACATTTAAATCAAGCCTTTCATCAGAAACACTCTTCACTCGTCAATCGGAAAGGTGTTCTTCTTCTCCAATACAATGCACGTCCACATGTGGCATGTTTGACGCAACACAAGATTATGGAGTTAGGTTGAAAAGCTCTCCCCCACCCCCCATATTCCCCATATTGCACCATCAGATTACTATCTTTTATCGTTCGCTGCAACACCATGTTAATGGGAAAACGTTTGCAAATGTGGAAGGTGTTAAAGAGGACATCGACATGTTTTTTGCTTCAAAGCTAAGTGATTTCTTTAATCAGGGCATTAATAACCTGATTGTAAGATGGAAAAGCATCATCGATAAGAATGGAGACTATTTCATTTAAAAATGTTTTGTTTTTATATATAACTTGTTCGGGCTTTTATATCTAAAAAAAGCGACATTATTTTCTTGACGACCTAATATATATGTATGCATGTTTTAGTAGTTAAGAGTAAAGCTGCCTAGAATTGTCTTTATTACCAATTAAACAAATCCCTTTTTTCTTTGTTAAATTCTGGCTAATAAATCTTTTCGATTTTGTGATCATTGTGCTTAATCATTTCTTCAAGCCAGTCCAACCATTATTATGACTTCTACCCTAGATAAAATTATTAGTACTTTATCTCCCAGTTATACCATCTAGTGCAAACAACAACAACAACATAAACTGGTCTTTCTTTTCTAAAAAAAATGTTCACAAATAAAAAACCCAACTACTCCAACTAATAAAAAGATAATTGAAAAAAGAAATGACTATACAAGTTATCTGTGTGGGGTTATCTGTGAAATACACTTATCATGATGTAATTATTCATACATTTATAAAACTGGTTTGCACAACTTTTTTGATATATATCCATCCGCTGAAAGCATGTAATGTAAATTATGTTATTACTGAAATATCACATTTAGAACTATATTTCCATAAATTTGCGTTGATCTATTAGCTGCATTGGACTTTGGGTTTGCTACATTCTAAATCTAACAAACCAGCACTGTTGGGTAGAGCAACAACCCAGCTAGATGGAATATTGGTTCTATTTGACGAATAAAAATGACAACGTTTTAATCTGAATGGCAAGATATTGCTTGAAATGTTTTCTTAAATGGATTGTAGTGATACCCTTGATATTATAAACTTGAAAACTATTTATATAAGAATTCGATGTTGCTTTTACTAGCTTTAAATGTTTCATGTATCTACAACGGTATATTATTGACAACTTTAACATTTCAATACAACGGTATATTATTGACAACTTTAACATTTCAATGCAACGGTATATTATTGACAACTTTAACATTTCAATACAACGGTATATTATTGACAACTTTAACATTTGAATGCAACGGTATATTATTGACAACTTCAACATTTCAATACAACGGTATATTATTGACAATTTTATAATTTCAATACAACGGTATATTATTGACAACTTTAACATTTCAATACAACGGTATATTATTGACAACTTTAACATTTCAATACAACGGTATATTATTGACAACTTTAAACATTTCAATACAACGGTATATTATTGACAACTTTAACATTTCAATACAACGGTATATTATTGACAACTTTAACATTTCAATACTACGGTATATTATTGACAACTTTAACATTTCAATACAACGGTATATTATTGACAACTTTAACATTTCAATACAACGGTATATTATTGACAACTTTAACATTTCAATACAACGGTATATTATTGACAACTTTAACATTTCAATTCATACCTCTTCTCTTTTTTACAGATATATATTTTCCATTTGTTAGCCATGAATAATGTTTGATTTTTAAATATATCGAACGTCTATTACGTTTCGTAAGGTATTTTGCTTCTGACTCTTTTGAGTTATTATTATCTAAACAATCAATCAATGACTGATCTTAAAACGAAACAAATTTAAATTATGTTTGTTTGTTTTTTTATTGCTATGACTGCAACCACGAACTCCGCCACCAGTGTTGATCGGCACATAAAAAAAAAGAGTACTGCCTGTCATAATGCAAACCGGTTTCGAAGTTTGAATAGGCTAGTGGGGAGGGAAGATTCCTTCCAGTCTGGCGTCATGTATAACTTTATCCTTCTTCAAATCTCTTATTGATACAACTAGCCACGTTTTTATGTTTTGTAGATTGAATATTCTAAGTAAGAGAAATATAGTTGATAAATTAATAATAACTATAGTAACTCCTTCTAATGTAAATGATGAAATAAGAAATAGCTGTCGAGGTTCATTCAGGATTCAAGAGAAAGACGCAGATCAACTCTTATTTATACATGTGTGTGTATGTATATATAAATATATGTATATATAGTATGATACTAAAATTAATACCTGGTACATCTCCACAAAGTCCCGCGTAATACGGACGTGACATGTGGGGCACCACGCATGCCTCACCACATGGAATTGAAATTCATGTGGAAACATTTTCAAATCCAGAGCCAAAAAGTTGACTTGACAGATTCACATTTATCGACCTATTGCTCACAATCCCTGTCTGTATACCTTTTCCAAGTTGGTTTATTTCACATCAAATGAATTGTAAGATAATCCATTGCAACAATTAAGGATTCAAAAGTAAAACTGTCTTTATGCGGTTAGTTTGGTCTATCTTTATATCTGCTGTGCCCGAAGTATTAATTTCGTTTGTACATTGTAATTCCACCTTTTTCTGTTGTTAGACAAACGTATAATCATGGTTATAGTGTAGATGAAACATGATCTGCCTTAAGCGTTCAAATTTTCACTCTTGTACTGGTTTACCATGTATACATAAGTTTGAATGTATCGTAGAGTCGGTAGACTCCATATGTAGGGATGACCAAGGTACTCAATAGGCATAATACAAATATGCATGCTAAAAATGATTGCCACTCACGTTTATTTGTTTCCCTACCTAACAAGTCCAAAAACAAGGCAAGAAACTATCGCTAAGATACCAAACCAGAAAGTGAATAACCCATTAAATTCTTAATCTTTCTTCTTGTTGTTTCAGTCGAGATAACTATACAATTACTTTATCACTAACGTCAGTTTGAACCTAAGTCCACTCTATGTGTTTCTGGGCAGTGGATAATGTTATCGCTTAATCATAATACGTAGTAGTAATAAAAAACAAGCAAACCATAATTCTAGTGTAAACAATGTTATCCTTACCCCTTGTAGTTAGCTTTCTTACAGAAATATACTGTTCCTTTAAAAAAGCTTAAGTGCAGAGTGAAACAGGAATTATCAACCAATAATAGGTAAACATTAGATTATTGTAACATATAGAATACTCAATGCTTTGTACACTATACACAATTGGAGTAAATTGGGAGCCAACCCCTGTATTATGTATGAAGTGAATGATAGAATACACTAACTTTCAATCAGGGGAAAATACGTCACAAAACAAGCAATAAAAACATTTTGTTGTGTAAGACTCATAATGCAGAATTACACACTGACTTTTTTCTACGTTTAAATACTTTTGTTTGCGACCTTTTGACCCTCCTGCCAGAGCCTTCATCGGGCAATAATGAACTGAGCGATAAAAATTCGGGTTGTGTTTTAGTGAACATTCTCGAAGAAACTGTAAAGCGAAACGTTAAATGAAAACAACATTTTAGTGTTATAAGTTCGTTTATTTCTAGTATGAATATATCTTATATATATACACCAATATGCACTACAGAAATTAAGTAATATAGGGATGATACAGCTATACATAGATCATCCCTACATGACTTTCAATATTAAAATTTAATCTTCCTGGAACAACGTTGTGTTCATGTCCACGAAACCCGAGGAATAAAGTGGCAGAAGTCCTTCCTCCAATATTTCGACGTATTTTGCAAAATTTATGTTTCCAACGCACTCCACTAAGCT